AGGAAAGAAGGAGGGAGAGAGGGAAATATGGTTATCTCCTTAGAATTATACCTATAAAATACATGAAATCTGGTTATTTTATATAAATTTTTTTAAAAAACAGCACTGGTAGGGGCCAGCACTGTGGCATATTGGGTAAAGCTGGCAGTGTTGACATCCCATATGAGCGCTGGTTGGAGTCCTGGTTGCTCCACTTCTGTTCCAGCTCTCTGCTATGAACTGGAAGATGGCCCAAGTCCTTGGGCCCTTGCCCCAGCATGGGAGACCTAGAAGAAGCTCCTGGTTCCTGGCTTCAGATCAGCACAGTTCAGGCCACTGCAGACATCTGCAGAGTGGGTGGAAGACCTCTCTCTCTTTCTCTGCCTCCTACTCTCTGTGTAACTCTTTCAAATAAATAAATAAATATTTTTAAAAAAAAAGCACTGGTAAAGATGCTTGAGTCCCATATTGGAGTGCCTGGTTTAATACCAGCTCCAATTCCTGATTTCAGCTTCCTGCCATTGCATACATGGAAGGCATATTATGACAATTTTTCTGACAGAAGAAACTTTTTTTAAAACCTCACTCTAGTTCTTGCCTATTCAGACACTGGGAGGTAATAGTAATGCCTCAAGTAATCTTCTGATAGGAGAAACTTTTTTTTTTTTAGAATCAGAACCAATCATCTTCGTGAGTAATTTCAAACCTTAAATTGTTTTTCAGCCTTTCTGGTTTTTTTTTTTTTTATTATAGGGGAAAGTATATTTTATTGGTCATTTTGAACATATTATAGACAAAGAACAATAAATATGGAGAAATACATTTTTGAATTGTCTTCCCAACTTGTTGAAATCACTTGAAAACTATAATTCTGAAGAATAAGGTCAGTGAATATATTTCTGATAAATTACCTAAAGAAATCTCAGAGGGTGGTAGGGGAACAACCTGAATTACCAAGCCTTCATTAATTTGTTGTAATTGATTCTTTCATTCTACATAAGTATTCATTTTCAGACCAGATTTTGTATTTGTAAGCTTACATTCTTTTTCTGAAAGATTGACATGCAACCCATATACAAATATCTAAGACCTGTCTTCCCAAGTGTGTACTGGTGCCTCAAGAGAACAAATGCAAGTAATCGAGTGCCAATGCAGTAAGAGAGTGCACAAGGAGACATAGTAGAGAGAGTCAGAAAGGACAACCACGCTGGGCCTGGGCCAGATGATTAACAGATTAGACAATACTGCCACGGAGAGATTACTCAATTCAGGAGGGCTGACAGAATTTATTTAGAAGAGATACTTCCACTGACCTGGTTCTAGATGGTGTGAGTTCTCTTATTAAAATTTCATAAGGGGAAAAAATCCAAAAATGCTGAAAAATAAGTGTGTCTGGACCAGAAAGTAAAAAGAAAATGAAAGGAAAATAGGTATTCATTCCAGAAGCCTTGATCAGTTCTCTACGTGTTAAAAAACAGGCCATCATGTAATAAGATAGGTTTAAAACGCAGGTGTTTAAAGACCTTTGAATGAGCTCTTCTGGATAATAACAGCAAAGATAAGTAACACTTCTAGAAACCCATGTGCCGATACTGTTTAGATATATTAGCTAATTTCATCATCCTAATAGTCCTTTGGAATGGGTAATACTATTAACTCCATTTTAGAAATGATAAAACTGAGGCAAGGAGAAATTAAGTAACCAGTCTAAGGTCACGCAACAGACAACTGATTGAACCAGGATTTAATTAGGCAACCGACTCCTGCATGAAAAATTCAATTCTTCACCCTACACTGCAAGGCACTCGGAGTGGGAAGGCAAGAGCAATGCACAGAAAAGAAAATCCATCTTGGTAGAAATGCAAGGAATATCAAGGAAGCAGGCTCTCTTCCCTTTCTCTGAGATCAAAAATATAGGAATAATTTGAAGTGGTTGAGAAGATGTGGCTTAGCAAGGCCTTAAAGTACAGGGGGAAAAAATCAGTCAATATAAGGCACTTTCTCAATAGTCCCATAAAGATGAGACAAGATCCTCTTGTTGAGTGAAGAAAGATGGGGGAGTAGGAAGACACTGATGGATGTGAAAGAAAACAATCAATTTTAACATTGCAAAAATCCAACTGGTGGGAAAAAGTTGGCAAGAATATATTTTAAAATTGCATCTTTAAGAATCAGTGGTATAAACATCATCTTCATTGTTACAATGATCCTATTAAATGTTAAAGGCAACAGACAGACCAGTCTAAGTTTAAAAGGGATGACATAAATAACATCAAGTACCCAGTAAAAATAATAAAATTAAAAAAGGCAGGAAGGACCAACATGGGAAGCAGTCCACACACCAGACTCCTAGAATGACTTTCACAGTAAATAACACTCTGACCTCAGAATCAACACATAAGGCTTCCTGGTCGGGTCGATAGGCCTGCGAGAGCATTTCAGGCATGGAAAGACAAGACTCTGAGGGGAAAAAATATCGTACGCGGAGGATCTCTGTGAGACCTCAGAGGAAAGGAAGTGTCATCAAAGAAGGAGACACTCTTCTCTGAAGGGAGAAAATCCACTTTGCTTATGGCTGTGTCCAAATACCAACAGAGTCTACAGTCACAAAAGCCTCCATAGCCTTGGCAGCCCATGACAAGAGTCTCAGATGATCACTGACATCATAAAAAAAAGAGTGTTAATTGTTAAAGGAACAACAGTAGTCACTGTGCACTTGCTCCCCAGATAGGACCTCTGTCCCTATTGAATTGTAATATGAAAATCGATTGCAAGTTCTCTCCCCGAACTGTACTCTATATGTTGTGTATGGGCGTGGGGGCAAATTGTTGAAATCTATGATTAGCATAGAGTTGGTCCTCTGTATATAAAGTGTGGGGAATCCCACAGGAGTCTCAAAAACAGTCATGGATCACCACTTACCTGGAAAGGAGATGAGCTATGGAAACGCCACAGTGAAACATTGAGTTACAAAGTTACCACTAGCCACAAAACAAAAGTAAAGTGGAGTATAAGTCAAGAGCTGATGCAATACCTAATGGCTGTTAGGGAGACGCGCCTAATTATAACCATGCAGACATCTCTGGTCAGTCAGATGACAGTGCGCTATGGGCAATACCCTCCTACCCACGCTGACTGGTCTGTCCAAACATAAGTAAGGTGGGAACAGTATTGACTGGACTGTTCAACTGCAAGCAAGGAGGAAACAATATTGGTTGGACAAGTAGAAGGACGGCAAGCTGGAAGACTGCCGAACATGAGGATAAAATGAGGGACCCTTGCACCGCTCTCTATCCTCTCGGGGATCATGGCCCGGTGTGTGTGAACCTCTGGATCGCCACACATCTGGAGCTGAAGAGGCAGCCCATTACTCTGCATGGAGCAGATAGCAGCACAAGCCGACAATGGACAAAGAGCCCAGTGCATGTGAACCTCTGGATCTCCTCGCACTTGGAGCTGAAGAGCCAGCTCACTAGCATTTGCTACATGGCACAAGGCGACGATGGCATCAAGAGGCCAGCGGAGCTGCTGCATTGCCGCCCTGCCGCCGTGCCTGACCAGCCAAGATGCCGCCTCACTGCCTTGCCTGGAGTCCTTATCAGCCTGCTGCCAGAGTTGACCACAGAGCCGGACCAGGCCTCTCAGCAGGGGACCTCTCCAACTTCTCGCCTTGCCATCTGCTTGGGAACTTTGAGCCTACTGCCCAGAGTGATAGCCTTCCCACAACTTCCTGCCTGTAAGTGTTGCAAGTTCCGTCCCTGCTGGGACGTTGAACCCTGGACACTGGACACTCCCCACAGGAATAACACATTCGTGACAGTGATACGAGCCTAGATACGTAGCAAACCAATGTTGTGTATTAAATATTATGTTGTGTTTATATTGTTCATTGTGATAGAGATTAATAGTGTTTGTTGTGACTTGTGATATAAGAATATTGATTTTCTGGCCAATAAGTGATATTTTTAAGATTAGGTATATATTAAGATAAGTAGTTATGTTAAGCTAAGTAATTCAGCAATTGTGTTAAGTCAGCTACAAGCTATGTTAAGTGATATTATTGATATTGTTGATAGTGATATTACTGATTTGGATAACTGTGTTAAGTAGTTATGCTAAGTCAGGTGATCAGGCCAAGTAGTGATGTTAAGTAGTTATATTAAGAGTGTTGAATGGAAAAACTGATAAGCATATTGATATAGATGAGTATATTGACCCTAATAACTAAGCAGTGGAGTGATGTAATAAACTCCTGGTGTGTCCCTGGTGTGTAAGTAATAAAAATCTTTTATAGGAAAGGCAATTTTGTGTCCATGTGTTCTGTTCCTTTCTTCCCCATGACTGACAACGTATGTCCCACTTGCTGCTGTCGAGCTACGTGACAGTAGGCGCTTGCGACAAAAAGTCATACTAAAAATGATCCATAATGAATAGGAGGTGGGAGAGGGAATAGGAGGTGGGAGAGGGAATGGGAGGTGGGATGGGAACAGGGTGGGGGGCGTGGTGGAAAGAACCACTATATTCCTAAAGTTGTATCTGTGTAAAAATGCATTCATTAAATAAAATAAAAATAGAGAGAAAATTCTGATAAAATATTGCATCTGATAGTATAATATCCATCTTAGGAATCCTGAGCTTTGAGCACATATCCTAGTTCTCTGCTTCAGCATATTTCAAATAGGCATTTGCTATGTAATGCTCAGGTGTTTATTTCACTCAATATTTGTGTTTTCAACCAGTTAAGGCTCTTTCCCTTTAGGATTGCTTTTTAAGTACTAGAAAAGGCCTAGCTAGGGATGAGTTATGATTGTTCCATACGAAATTATTTCCTTAAAATATGACATATATGTATTCTGCCCCTTCTGTCTGGAGAAATTACCTCCAGGTTTTCAAATGTTTTTATCTGCATGGTAAATCAGGTAGCTATGAGATTCAGTGGTGGTTTATTACTATACTTTATCCATAAAACAAATGGATTCACATTCATTTGAACAACAAAAAACAACACATAAATATCCTACCTGTGTTGTAGTCCTCTAATGTGGCATAATGCATTCAACTGACCATAATTAATGTGCTTAGACATTTTCAAGCCTGCAAAAAAATTTAATTAAAAATGTGGGTGATTTTCTGTAATCTTGTTAACCAAGTGTGTAAATAGAATTTAATTGCAAACATTCATCATAGTGAAAGAATTCAGTGACGACAGAAGCAAGGTATTAACAGTCTTTGTTTGATACACACACAGAATCAAATAGGGAGTTCAAATGAGGAAAAAATTCAGTGGTTTTTACTGATGCCAAATTTGGTCAGGCAATTTTTTAACTCCAGTAATTGCGTAAGTTCCATGTGTCATGTGATGTCACTCTGAAAGTAGGACTCGGAATTCCCATCCAATCCCTTTAGAATGTTAACTTGGCTCCGGAACACCAGACATGCCAACTGAAAGAAGAGTTTGGCTGATATTTGATTCTCTCTCTCCTTTCTCTTTCTTTCTCCTCTACCCCCTCATTTAATCTTTCTCTAATTTAAATCTATGTAGGGCCCCTTCTTTGTCTAACCCCTCTACAGAGCACCTTCCAAGGTCTGGATCCAGTTTGCAATTCCTTCTCTTTCCCAAAAGTAAACAAATCACAAAATATCCCTAAAAAGCCAAAAAAGACTGTACTCATAGGCAGAGGCAAACTAATTGTGATCCTCCTTCAGTACCAGAATGAATGAATATCCTTTCAATGTGATAGAAAAGACAGAGTTGCATACAAGCATCTTTGCAGGGATGAACACTCACATTACAGGCCCTCAGGTTACTCCAGAAAAAACTAGTGCTATTAGAAATGTCGTGAGGCAGAAAGCAATAATAAATACTAACTTATTCATATTATTCCATTGCTTAGTGAAAAGTTATTGAGAAAATCAGTAGCTTAATATACTTCTCAAATTTTTAAAAATCTGTGTGTTGTCCTTATTCTAGTTATGAAGCACTGGAATTTGACAGATTCAAATGTATCTATTTTAGTTTCTGATTCCTCAGTAATAAAATTGGCCTTTTTAAAAAGCTTGCATGTCCTAAAAATCAGCAATAATGAAAACTACTTTCTAAACATGAAGTTGAAATAGAAATTTAAGCAGAAAATTGATTGCTATCCACATAAACTGTACCATTTAATAAACTTGAAACTACTGATCACATGACTTAGATATTTTTATCCATATTATTCAGTTGAGCATTGAAAAACAAAGCATTTTCTATGTGTGGTAGCATCATATGGAATAACATATCTTAAATTAACCAACTTACAGCTTGGATATATTAAAATATTTTAGTAGACTAACATTCAAAAACTCATATAAAATCGTAAGCTTAATTCTGTACTTTTCTAAATAGATGGGGTGGGAAGGGCCTTCCATAAAATACTCATTTCACTCATTTTGCCAATGTAGTTCAGGAATAGGGTTAATAGTAGCTTTGGTGGGTGATATGGACAAGAAAGGGAGATGTGGTCATCGAGATTTGGAAAAAGGTGATGATTGGAGGAATTCTGACCTTAAAAAACCTAGGAACCCATCCATGTGGAAATAGATAGAGAAAATGCGGTGTTTATAAACAATGGAATAATACTCAGCCTGTAAGAACAGAATCCTATCATTTGCAATAAAATGGGTGAAACTGCAGGACATTAACAAATAAGTCAGGACATTAAACTAAGTCCGACATAGAAAGAGATACAGCATGTTCTCTCTCCAATGGGGAAGTAGAAAAACCTTTATGTGAGTGTGGAACAATGGTTATTGCAGAGTAGGAAGCTGAGGATTGATAAAGGGAGGTTTGTAGATTTGCACCCAAACACACTCAGACAGAAGAAATGTGACCTGGTGCTCCATGGCATAATAGGGTGACTTTAGTTCACAATAACATTTTGCATATTTTATGAAGAACAATAAGAGAGGAGCTTGAAGTTTCCAAACATAAATAAATGATGAGATGGGAAAACTAATTACCCTGATTTGACCAGTGTATATTGTATACTTGTGTTAAAATATTATCCTGAACTCTTTAGATATGAACAATTATAACATATTGATCAAAAATAAAAAAGCTTTAAAAAATATGTCTTTCATCTTTCAGTTAAAGTAGCTTACAAAAGAATCACAAACCAGATCAAAAGACTAGGAACTGCTACTAAAGAATAGAAAAATTAAAATACTACTTTGCTTTTTATCTAAACTCAAGTTGCCCGAGAAAAACTCCAGCAATTGAGGCCAAAGCTTCCTGCTGGGCTTGGAACAGCTAAGTAACTCAAAAACAGAATAGACCAGATAGCACTTGCAGGCTAGTAGCATACTTTAATTCATCAAAAATTTCCTTCTTCACTGATCCTCAGTTCTGAGAGGTATTTGTCACGAGGATTTTATGTGAAAGGTGTTCAGCAACACCAGGGACCTTGTCTTTGAAGGCAGATTCATTAAAAAGAAAATAGCAAAAGGTTTTAACATGAAATTATAACTTTGTAAAGACCAGAGCTTGAGTTGTTCTAGTGATTAAATTTAATGCAGGCAGAAAGCAGAAAGAGTTTCAAAGAGTACCGAGTTTACATTTGTTTTCCAGTCTTGTTTTCCCCTCATGAATATGTCTTAGCCAGCTTCCATAAAAGCATAGGGGGCTTAACCCTAAAATGCGATTAAAATCAAGGGTTTTGACCCAAGTAAGTGTGAAAGAAGATTAGAAACTGCTTTGAAAGAATAGTTACACAGTTAATCCTCAACTACAAAACACTTTGCAATTAAAAAGCCAGTTATGTTCACCAATATAAGGCCTACTGTATGATTTTCTTGCTATTTTTATTTTAATTTTTGAAATATATGTTAATTGACATTATAGTTTAAGGCTTAATGTCCCAGCAAATAAAGAGTTCAACCTATAAAAAGTAAAATGACCACAGTTCAGTGGGAATATAAGCAAGGACTAATAAAAATAATCAATGATATATATATCTGTTTCACTCATAAACAGTAAATTTTGAGTCACAGCTCATTAAAATTATAGTAGCTTATAATTCTTAAATTGATAAAGATTTAAGATGAAGTTTGACAAAATACCACATTTGCAGGAAAACTGATACACAAAAACATTTCTTTTTTTTTTAATTTCAGCTCTCCTACATATAAGGAGAACATGCAGTACTTTTCTCTCTGCATTCAGTTGTTTCCCTTCCACTGTATATTATTGAAATGGAGAAAATAAAATTCCAACGTTTTACCTGAGTGGTACATTGATGATACTTTTTATGTGTTACTACTTGTTCAATATAGATATACTTTCATTTTTGTGCAGAATGGTGAATTAAGTACACCTGTGATGGTATAGCTTCCATGAGTATTAAATATACCTAAATCATTTTTACCAAAAGCCTTCCATTAAGAAGTGGATAAATCTCTCTTGAAAAAGCAAGAATAAGCAATGAAAAAAATGAAACCTTAGAAATATTGTAAATGCACAGCCACTGTTTCCTAAGAGGCCGGGCTTACCTGCGGGCCTAGGAGGCAAGGTGAATAGATGGCACCGCCAGAGAGAAAATGCCACAGTGACCCGGTGGACGTGTCAGAGCATGGGAAGCTGCAAAGCCTCTCCAAAGAACTTTCAGTGTAAACTCTAATGATTAACCAACGATTAATGGTATCTACCTTAACACAGTTTTCAGAGCACAGTTTAGCAGCATTAGCAACACATTTTTGTTGTGAGAACAGCTGTCCTTATACTATAATAGAAAGGTAAATGCCAACATGGGTCTGAAGCACTGACATGAAGCTGGACAGAAGAAAAGAAAAGGATCCAACAGGGATCATAAGGATGACTGGTTATTCCTGTATCTTTAATTAAATAAGTAATGTAATTGTTAGCAGAAGCAATGTTTTTAAATAAGTCTAAATTATGCAATGAGAGACCAATAACATGCTCTCTCATTTCTCTCCAGCGAATATTTCATTGTTGTCTAAAATCTCAAAGTTAATTCTCCTTTAAATAATATTGAATAAACATAAGGCACCTGAAAAACCGCAACTAAGTAAACCACGAAAAGGTGAAAACCTGCTACAAATAAATGTTGACAAAATGCTAGGGACGGTTGTCCAGGAAGTATTCATATTGTTCTTGTTTCTTGTTTCAGTGGCTTGAGGTGCTAAAATAAATGGTTTTCATTAGCTGAGAAGAGAGGGAAAAAGAGGATTAGACAATCCCATCGAGGTGGCATGTACCAATGCCATCTCACTGTTCCAGGTGATCAGTTTCAGTTCACAGTTGGTCATGGTGGAGGGACTGGGAGTCAAAGGGAGCACATAGACAAGTCTAGTACCTGCTAACGCTAACCAATGGAGTAAATAAAGGGGAGAGTGATCCAACATGGGAAGTGAGATACTCAGCAGACTCATAGAATGGCAGATTCCTAAATAGCACTCTGGCCTCAGAATCAGCCCTAAAGGCATTCGGAGCTGGCTGAAAAGCTCATGAGAGTATTTCAGGCATGGAAAGCCAAGACACTCTGGCAAAAGATCTCTGCGAGTGAGATCCCAGTGGAAAGAACAGGTCATCAAAGAAGGAGGTACCTTTCTGAAGGGAGGGGAGAACTTCCACTTTGACTATGACCTTGTCTAAACAAGATAAGAGTCGGAGAACTCAGAGGGCTTCCATAGCCTTGGAAACTCATGACTGGAGCATAGGGAGACTACTGATGCCATAGACAGGAGTGTCAATTGGTAAAGTCAACAACAGGAGTCACTGTGCACTTACTCCTCATGTAGGATCTCTATCCTTAATGTGCTGTACATTGAGATTTAATGCTATAACGAGTACTCAAACAATATATTTCACTTTGTGTTTCTATGGGGGTGCAAACTGTTGAAATCCTTACTTAATGCATTCTAAACTGATCCTCTGTAAAAAAAAAAAAAAAGAAATTATCAATTTCCAACTTGACTCTCACTGGGATTAAACATGACAATAGGTCTGCTCTGATTTCATCATCATTTAAAAAAATTCATCTATTATTTTTCACTTTATGTTTCTGTGTGGGAGCAAACTGTTGAAATCCATACTTGAT